GAGGTGGTTTCCCCTTTTCCTTATTTGTCGAGGTTCTTTGTTCACCTTCAGAACAGGTCTTTCTCGTCTCTCAGCCTTAGATGGACAGGTGTGGCATTTCCTGCAGTTTCATCACTTGAAGTTATCTAAGTGAGATCTCGCTCCTTAATCTCAGGTCTCGCCCTTGAGTGATACTGTTAATCACTAACATATCTGTTCCTTATTCAGGCCGGAAAGCCAGCCGGGCACAGACCTGCCGATTCTGCCCCAGGAGTTTTCATGACACCTTTTCTCAAAGTGCTTCTGAAACTTAAGAACTTTATATATGAAAGATTCAAACTGTGTTCTCTTTTAAAAACTTCTTAACCTGAATTTGAAGACAGTGAAAACTCCATTAGTGCATTCACCCCAGTAATGATCTCTCTCAATGGCTACATTCCAACACAAACGAGCATATCCCTAACAGCACCAACAACATGAAAAGACCCTGCTAAAAGCTTTGAACAAGGGATGTCTCTCCTCTTTTACCTATTTTAGTTTTCAGTAACTAAACTCAAGGATGCAGAACAAAAAAAGCCCCCCATATATTAGCTTAATATAAAATCTTAAGTAATTACTAACATTGAATTTTGATTTCTACACTGACGACCTATACTTGGCATGTTGGTAAGTCTATGAGCCAAGACAGAACAGCACGAGCAAGGGATTTTTCAGACAGGAAGTACACCTGCTGCTTACAATGCACTTCTGAGGTCTATACAAAAAAGAAACCCTCCTCGCTCCACATTCCCTTCCCTACAGGATCTTCAAAGGTCTGGAAACAGTAGCAGAGATAGGAGAATTAGGAAGCACAAGTGTTCTTTAGGAGGAACAAATTGCCAAAGTCCATCTAGTTGCATCTAGTCCTTCCCCAAGTACTAAAGGAAGATCAGCTACAATCATATTGTTGATCTTTCACCAGATTGCTCTCAGAGGTATCCAAATCTAGAAATTCCTTAACCATCCCTAGCAATCTAGCGTACGGCCTCGCTTGGCTTATTGCCATTCAGAAGGCTTTTTCCTAGTTTTATAACTGGAAACTTCGTGTCCTCTCTGCAACAGGTCTGGGCTTCTGACATCATCAGAACAAAGGCTTGCAGAGTCTCTCAAAATATTCTCCTCCACTTTGGGACGTGTGGGGATCAACACAAACTTCCTAAAGCTTCAAAGGAAAACAACCTCTGGTTTGAGACATGGAACCTTTATCATACAACTATTCAAGTTAAAACTGTCTATTTCAAAAGGCTATAATTCACATGCATTATTTGTTCTTCATTTGGTTAGAGAACAATGACAGCAATTACTCTAAGGTAATTTGAGGGATTGACATTTTTGAGTTCTTTCAAATTTTAAGGGTTTGGAAGATGAAATATCTGTGAATCTCCCCATAGCTTTCAAGAATTCCTCCAAAATAGCTCTAACAGTGTTTGAAAACCATTTTCTCCCTTGGAAAGAAGCATTCAACACATCTGGGTTAAACTGACATTTGCAATGAATATCTAACCATACCAATGAAGCAAACCTCAGACGATACACATGCACATAGGACTTTTTAAATTGAGCATGTAGAAGTAGGCTGGCATAAAGGATAAATTAATGGCTGAAGACAACAGGCAATAGCTAGTGAATCAGATCAGTGTCCATGCAGTGCAAATTTGAATTCTGTCCTTGGCAGCTTTCTGAGAACTAATTATTCTTTTCCACACTGTGCAGAAGTTCCTTCTGGGTGGGGATATCGCCGCAGCTCTAGCAGCGCAGTATTTCTTTCAAAGAACAAAACATGTTCCCTCCAAATGCTTTAGTATTCCCTGTATTAATAGCTTCTGCCTTGCAGCAGAAGCTACAAATATTAACATGGCCAATCCTCAGCCTTCTCTCAATATTATTCTCACTGTCACTCAATTGTGAGAGTATTTTTTTCAATAGCATGCCCTTCTTAGACCATTCCATTCAACATTTTTTTCTGTTTACAGTACCTAATCTCTCATCCAGAACATTACTTGCTTCTCCTGATGCAGCCTCTTACTCAGTACAACAACCCATTTCAAGAAAAACCGTAACTGCTAAAATCACTTTTCTCCCACCCAACCACATCAGTCTCCACCCACAGTATTTCCATTAAATAACATCGCTTCCACACATTTCCTCATCTTATATTCATCTCTGAGGGTGAAAATAATTCTAACTCTATTTGGGTTTGTATCTCTGGATCTTTTTCCAAATCTCCAAGTCTAATATTAATCAACGTAGATTTACATTATTCTTTTCTTTTACAGTCTCTTTTCCATTTTACTCACACTGTGCCACCCTAAACATTAACATAAGGTCCCCTACATGGACGGTAACAAGTCGGGCACCCTTGGCTACTACCAATATTGGAATAAAAATACACTTTCCTGGAGTTTTGTTTAGGAGGGTGTCAGAGAAAGAAACCCAAATCAGTGTCCATATCAACTAG